GAAGGGCCTGTATTTCCTAATAATGTTAGTAGTAAATGTCCTGCAATTATATTAGCTGCTAATCGAACTGCTAAAGTTCCTGGACGAATTACGGTACTAATTGTTTCAATACAAACTATAAAAGGTATTAAAATTGCTGGAGTTCCCTGTGGGACTAAATGAGCAAATATNGAAGGGCCTGTATTTCCTAATAATGTTAGTAGTAAATGTCCTGCAATTATATTAGCTGCTAATCGAACTGCTAAAGTTCCTGGGCGAATTACATTACTAATTGTTTCAATGCAAACTATAAAAGGTATTAAAATTGTTGGGGTTCCTTGTGGGACTAAATGAGCAAATATATGTTGAGTATTATTAATTCATCCGTAAATTATAAAACATAATCATAAAGGTAATGCTAAAGTTAAAGTTAATGTTAAATGACTTGTTCTTGTAAAAATTTAAGTNGTAAATTATAAAACATAATCATAAAGGTAGGGCCAAAGTTAAAGTTAATGTTAAATGACTTGTTCTTGTGAAAATATAAGGAAATAATCCTATGAAATTATTAAATAAAATTAATGAAAATAATGATACAAAAATAAAAGTTGATCCTGAATGACTTTATGGTCCTAGTAATGTTTTGAATTCTTTATGTAGTGTTAATAAAATTGAATTTTTAGAATACATGATAACGTGAGGGTATAATTCAACATACTGATGGGATTATTAATAACCCTAAAAATGTTCTTATTCAATTTAATGATAAATTAAAAATTCTTAATAAGNGAATTCTTTATGTAGTGTTAATAAAATTGAATTTTTAGAATACATGATAACGTGAGGGTATAATTCAACATACTGATGGGATTATTAATAACCCTAAAAATGTTCTTATTCAATTTAATGATAAATTAAAAATTCTTAATAAGGGGTCAAATACTGAAAATAGGTTAGTTATCATTTTCAATTTAATGATTTAGTTGATTTTTGTGAAATCTGAGATTTAGGAGATTTAGGAATTATTGAGTAATAAAAAGTAATTGAAAAAATAATAAATAAGCTTAATCAACCAAGAGGGGCTATTTGTGGAATTAAAAAATATTAAATATTTTAATAATTTTAGTTTGACATACTAATGTTATATTTTAACTTTTTTTTTCATTAGAAGTAAGTGCTAATTTACTATTAAGTGGTTTAAGAGACCAATACTTGCTTTCAGTCATCTAATGATGAATTTACTATATTTGTAATTCATTTAATAAAGTGATTAATAGGAATACTTTCAATTACGATTGGTATAAAACTGTGATTAGCACCACAGATTTCAGAACATTGTCCATAAAATAAACCTGGTCGATTTATTAAAAAATTAGTTTGATTTAGACGACCAGGAGTTCCATCAACTTTTACACCTAAAGAAGGAACTGTTCAAGAGTGGATTACATCTGCTGCAGTTACTAAGATTCGAATTTGTANCAATTGGCATAAAACTGTGATTAGCACCGCAAATTTCAGAACATTGTCCATAAAATAAACCTGGTCGATTTATTAAAAAATTAGTTTGATTTAGACGACCAGGAGTTCCATCAACTTTTACACCTAAAGAAGGAACTGTTCAGGAATGAATTACATCTGCTGCAGTCACTAAAATTCGAATTTGAGAATTTATAGGTAAAATTACTCGGTTATCTACATCTAATAATCGAAATCCATCTGTAGTTAATTCATTTTTTGGGAGTATATAAGAATCAACATTNAATGAATTACATCTGCTGCAGTCACTAAAATTCGAATTTGAGAATTTATAGGTAAAATTACTCGATTATCTACATCTAATAATCGAAATCCGTCTGTAGTTAATTCATTTGTTGGAATTATATAAGAATCAAATTCTACATTTATGAAATCTGAATATTCATAACTTCAATATCATTGATGCCCAATAGTTTTTAAAGTTACTGAAGGTTCATTAATTTCATCTAATAAATATAAAAATCGTAAAGAATTAAATGCAATAAATAAAAGTACAATAGCTGGTAGAATTGTTCAAAATATTTCAATAGTTTGGCCATGTAATAAATTTCGATTTGTATAATTATTAAAAAATTATATTNCCATGTAATAAATTTCGATTTGTATAATTATTAAAAAATAACATAAATATTAAATAACCAACTAAAGTAGTAATTATTACTAAAATTATAAGTGTATGATCATGGAAGAATGTAAGTTGTTCTATAAGGGGAGAGGCACTATTTTGAAGGCCAAGAGCAGCTCATGTTGACATTTATTTATAAATATTCTAATAAAAGTAAAATACTTTATATATGAAGCTTAAATCCATTGCACTAATCTGCCATATTAGAAATCTGTTAAAATAGGCAATTCAGAATATCTATGTTCTGCTGGAGGTGCATTTTGTAATCATTCAATTGAAGAATTTAATTTTATTGGATAAATTACTTGTCGTTGTGAAATCAAGCTTTCTCAAATACTAAATAAGAAAAATAAAATTCCTAATAATGAAATAGAAGATCCAATAGTTGAAATCNGATCCAATAGTTGAAACTACATTTCATGTAGTGTAAGCATCTGGATAGTCTGAATATCGTCGAGGTATCCCCGCTAATCCTAAGAAATGTTGAGGAAAAAAGGTTAAATTTACACCAATAAATATAATTAAAAATTGACTTTTTAATCATTTTGAATTTAAAATTAATCCTGTAAATAAATGGTATCAATGAAAAAATCCTGCTATAATAGCAAATTCAGCTGCTATTGATAATACATAATGAAAATGTGCAACTACATAATAAGTGTCATTAAGGATAATATCAACTGATGAATTAGCTAAAACAACCCCTGTGAATAGAAAAAGNCGCTATAATGGCAAACACAGCTCCTATTGATAATACATAATGAAAATGTGCAACTACATAATAAGTATCGTGAAGGATAATATCAACTGATGAATTAGCTAAAACAACTCCTGTTAAACCTCCTACTGTAAATAGAAAAACAAATCCTAAGGTTCATAGTATAGCTGGTGAATAGTTTAATTGAGTTCCATGTAGTGTAGCTAGTCAACTAAAAATTTTAATTCCTGTAGGTACAGCAATAATTATAGTTGCTGAAGTAAAATATGCTCGTGTATCAACATTTATTCCTACTGTAAATATATGATGTGCTCATACAATAAAACCAAGAAGTACAATTGCTATTATTGCATAAATTATTCCTAATGAACCAAAAGTTTCCTTTTTTCCAGATTCTTGACTAATAATGTGAGAAATTATTCCAAATCCAGGTAAAATTAAAATATAAACTTCTGGATGACCAAAAAATCAAAATAAGTGTTGATATAAGATTGGATCTCCTCCACCAGCTGGGTCAAAGAATGATGTATTTAAATTTCGATCTGTTAAAAGTATTGTAATAACTCCTGCTAATACTGGTAAAGATAGTAATAATAATAATGCAGTTAATACAACTGCTCATACAAATAAAGGTATTCGATCAAATGTAATTCCAATTGATCGTATATTAATAACTGTTGTAATAAAATTAACTGCCCCTAAAATAGAAGAAATTCCTGCTAAATGTAGAGAAAAAATAGCTAAATCAACAGAGGCTCCTCCATGAGCAATAACAGATGAGAGAGGGGGGTAAACTGTACAACCTGTTCCAGCTCCATTTTCTACTATACTACTAACTAGTAGTAATGTAAGAGAAGGAGGTAGTAATCAAAAACTTATATTATTTATTCGAGGAAATGCTATATCTGGTGCTCCTAATATTAAAGGTACTCATCAATTTCCAAATCCACCAATTATAATAGGTATTACCATAAAAAAATTATAACAAAAGCATGAGCTGTTACAATTACATTATAAATTTGGTCATCACCAATTAAAGCTCCTGGATGTCCTAATTCAGCTCGAATTAGGATTCTAAGAGAGGTTCCTACTATCCCGGCTCAAGCTCCAAAGATAAAATATAAAGTTCCAATATCTTTGTGATTTGTTGAAAATAGTCATTGTCGCGATTAAATGGCGATAGACTGTAAATCTATTTATAAGAATTAATTCTCTTTAATCAATTAGGCTTTATAGTCAATAATGATATTAGACTGCGATTCTAAAGGAGTAAAAATAATTACTAAGGCTTAAAATATTTAACTTATATTTATAACTTTGAAGGTTATTAGTTTTTTATACCCGAGCGCACTTGTGCTATATTAATTTTGTTCACATAACGGTTGTTTGTAACAGCCAAAACGAATCGAGATAGATATAGACAAATGTATACATAAATGATCAGGATGAAAAAAGAAATCGATTAAGCCATGTCTGTCTGTCCGTCCGTCTGTCCGTCTGTCCGTCTGTCCGTCTGTCCGTGTACACGATAACTCGAGCAAAAATTGAGATATCTCAACGAAATTTGGTATGTAGGTTTCCCTTAATCCAAGGTAGGTTGGTATTGAAAATGGGCGAAATCGGACTTTAACCACGCCCACTTCCCATATAACGGTAATTTCCAGAAATACGAAAACTGCGATATTTTAGTAACTACTAAAGATAATTCACTCAGAATTGATATTTACAATAATTTTTAGACGAAAAATAAGAATATTATAAATTTTTGGCGCAGTTTCCGTATTTCTGGAAATTACCGTTATATGGGAAGTGGGCGTGGTTAAAGTCCGATTTCGCCCATTTTCAATACCAACCTACCTTGGATTAAGGGAAACCCACATACCAAATTTCGTTGAGATATCTCAATTTTTGCTCGAGTTATCGTGTACACGGACGGTCGGACAGACGGACAGACGGACGGACAGACAGACATGGCTTAATCGATTTCTTTTTTTATCCGGATCATTTATGTATACATTTGTCTATATCTATCTCGATTCGTTTTGGCTGTTACAAACAACAGTTATGTGAACAAAATTAATATACCCTTGTGCACAAGTGCGCTCGGGTATACAAATACTCCGACGAATTGGCCAGACACTATTTTTTAACATTTCATATAACTTGTCTATTAGTTAACTAAAATCGACTTCTAAAACATGTGGCAACCCTCTTCAAAAATATTTTGAAACTAAAATAATCTTTCGTTTGACATTGTGATACATATCTCTGATTATCTGATGAATAATGTTGAATGTGAAAAAAAAACATCGCCACTCTCCTCTATGTAAAGCCCAGAAATATCAATTCACCGTGGGAGGCTCTGAAAGCACATATATGCCATTGAATTGGTCGTCTACAATATGCCAGTTGTACTGTCCAGTTTTATTAGACCTACCTTCCAGTTACTGGGACTTTTTACTGGAATCAGTTAACGCCAGTGCACAGTGGGCCAGAAGACTGAAAACGTAGTCAAAAACTGATATTATTTAAAATTTTAAAATAATAAACTTAAGTAATGTAGATACTTTGAAGTATGCGAAAACAAAATTTTATGATATTTGAAACATTTTAATATGTTCGTAAGAAATTCAGAATTCATAAAATATGAAAAGCGTTTGTAAGCCCTAATTATGAAAAAAACTACATTTATTTAAATTATCAATAAGT